TCTTTTATCTCCATTCTCAAAATTTAATAGGGCAGGAAATCTGTTTTTCAGCCTAGCTCTGCAAATTCCAGCTGTGCTGAACACTATCCAAAGTTACTTGAGAACCGTTTTCTGAACAGCCTATCTATTCACCAGGATTAATTCGTAAGTTCTACAGAAATTTTGAAAGAAGGAGAAGGAAGGGCATTTGCAAGGAGTCGGAGATGTGAGCAGCCCTGACTGAAGCACCGCTGGCGTTGTCTGAGGAGCCGGTGCCCGCAGACTGCGGCCGACCAAGCCCCCTGCGCTGTGAGCCCCTGCAGCGCGGTGGGCTTCAGCCCAGGAACCAGAGGGGGCTGGCAGAGCTCAGCCCAGTGTTTGCAGCTTTCCCGTATCATCTCCCACACCCCTGAGCGACCTCTGAACACACCATACGAACAGCGTTAAGACGATGCCACTGGCGCTTAATGATGATGTTCCTGGCGGGGTACCCCACTCTGGGGGACCGCATCTGCATTTCCCCAGTGACGACAGGTACCGAGACAACCAGCCTGGGGGTGGGAAACAGGAAGAGTTACCTCGGGGTGAGGCACCGAGCGCGTCACATACGGTGATGGAGTCGTTCCCGTCGGAGCCGGGATGGGACCGCCTTGCGTCAGCAGCGCGCGGTAGCGGCTCGCCTCCTCCACGGTGTGGCAACGGGACGGGATTCTGCAGCTGTTATTGTTGGGAGCTGTTCTGGGGATTCGCAGAACGGGAACATTAGCTATGTCCAAAAAAAACCAAAAAAAGAACATGTCTCATCCAGCCTTGAACATTTCTGGAAAGGGCTAGTTTCAAGCTTCTCTCATAGAAAAACATATGTAGTGGGCCACATGAGCGTTTACAAACCCCTCCAAGGACTGTGACACATCATCTCTCCTTCGCTCGGTTAAGTGGACAGTATTAATCAGTGTCATGCAAATCCAGCAGCTAAACCGCAGTGTAACAGCCTCTCCTCTTTCTTGGGAACGTATGTCTAAATTTGCATTTTGGTGCTATTTTCTAGCTTGTTAACGTAGCCATGGCAAGATGCATCACTGTGGAAAACGCTACTCTGGCTTTTGAGGCGTGCGATGTTAACAACAAGGTAAGGATACCCTGCATACTGAGTATGTAATGCTATTTTTAGTGCATGGCATCGAGCTCCTGCACCTCCCCGTGGTGACCTGCCCTCTCCCCCGCAGCTAATGCAGTCCTTCCCACCGGGGGACATGGCCAAATGGTGCCTGGGAGCGGCGAGGGGCAGGAATTGCCTCTGTTTGCAAAGCCTGTAGCCAAGCAACAACCCCAGAACCAGCAAATTCAGCTGGAATAGGAAAGTTCGATAAAGCCGTGAGCCTGCACGTGAAAATGGGGCGAAGCGTTTAAAGACAAGCCTGTGTTTTGCGCTGCGCTGCTGCAAAACATCCAGCTGCGCTCTCTCACTAGATGGAAAGCAGCTGCTGTGGACAACCTCTCCCTGCCTTTACAGGCAGTGTTTCTTAGGGAGTTCTCCGCTAATTGCTCACCACTGGCACAGGCCAGCGTGCGCATCGGGGCCCTGCCGCGTACGGGGGTTTGTGCATTTGCACCCCAGCACCAGGGTACAGCCGGGGGGGTGGCAGGGCAGAGGGGTGCGCAGCAATCGGGTTTGGGGTCTGGGCGGCTGCAGCCAGAGTCGCTCCCAGAGCCC